TTGGCTTCATCACTCTGTCTCCTCTCCACCAATAAGCTAGTGTGTGGTGGGTGTTCTGGTCCAGTATGGCTGCCGTCGCATCATCCAGGTGGATGCTGCACACTGGTGGTGGTTGAGGAGATTCCCCCCTTTCATGCAAAGTGCTTTGAGTACCCAGAAAAGCGCTATATAAATGTAACGAATTATTATTATTATTATCATTATTATTATTATAAACATATAGCTATTTAAATTCCAATAAATTGGGGGTATATATGTTTTTTTCAGTGTTTTATAATAAACGTGACTCAATATAACATTGCGACTACAGTAAAAAAAAGCTTTTACTGTTCTAAAAACACAGACTTGTCAGCATTATTGGAATTGAGGATGTTAGAATAAATCCGAAACACACGTTATGTGTTGTGTATAACACACGTGATGTGTAATGCGGTGAATATGGCCAATCGTGAAATAGCTATGTCATCATGAAAGCTCCTGCAGCCAATAGCTAAGCCTGGGAAGATCATACTGTTCACAAAAACAAATTAGAGACCAATAGCTTTAACATCTAACCTGTGTAAAATAATGGAATGAATGGTTATTTCTCATTTATTATATGTTTTGGATATTAGGAATTTATATCAGAGTAGGTTCAGAAAAGGACATAGTACCACACACAGTAATTTGCTTAGAAAATGAAATTAGGTAAGCTGAAGTGAAAAAAGAAATGGCTTTAGCAGTATTTTTCGATATTGAGAAAGCTTACGAAATGGTATGGACGGAAGGACTGTTAATAAAATTAGATCAAATGGGCATTAATGGGAGGTTGTTTAATTGGATTATGGATTTCCTGAAAGAACTGAAAATACAGGTGAGAGTAGGAAATGTCCCCTCTGATACCTACATATATAGATAACGGAACTCCTCAAGGTAGCATCTGTAGTCCGGTAATTTTCAATATAATGATAAATGGTATCTTTGGGGATATAGGTTCAGGAATAGGAAGGTCATTATATGCTGATGATGAAGCCTTATGGATAAGAGGAAGAAATTTGAGATATAGAGAGATAAATGCAGAAAGCAATAGATATTGTTGAAAGCTGGACTAACCAGTGGGGATTTTATCTCTCGGTAGCAAAGACCCAGGTTATTTGTTTCTCAACAAAGAAGAGAACCCCTGATGTGAAACTAAAGTTATGAGTAAACTTTAGAGCAAGTACCTATTATTAGGTATTTGGGAATATGGATGGACTCAAAGTTAACTTTTGGGACTCATAATCAAAAGGTAATTGATGAATTTAAGAAAGGAGTCAGTGTATTGAGATGTTTGGCAGGAGTGGATTGGGGTGCCACAAGACACTCACTAAAGTATTGTATTGTATTGCACATTAATTAGAGCATCGATTGATTATGGTAGAATAATTTATGGATCAGCATCAAATTCTTTGCTAACCAAAATTGATACTATTCAAAATCAAGCCCTTAGGATATGCTGTGAAGCTGTTAGATCATCTCCTGTGACAGCACTGCAGGTAGAGATGGGAGAAATGCCTTTAGAGTTATGTGAGTTTCAGCTTAGACAGGTATACTGGGCAAATATTAAAGATAATTTCTAATGATCAGTTCAAATCAGCCAGTTAAAAATATTTTGGAAAATTGCTGGGAATTTGAATGGTCACATTCAATGGTGTATGCTTTGGATGGATAATAGATCAGAATCAGAATCAGAATCAGAATCAGAATTAGCTTTATTCGCCAGGTGTGTGCAAACACACGAGGAATTTGTTGTGGTTTTTTTAAGGTGCTCCTGGTACATACATACATACATGCATACATACATACATACATACATATCTGACATGAGAACAGAAAAAACAAAACAAACAAAAAAACAAAACAAAAAACAAAACAAACAAAAAAAAAACATTTAAATAGTAAAAACTTAACAATAAATAATGTGTATGAATCTGGAACAGTAGATTTATGTACAGATTTGTGCATTATTTACTCTATATAGAACTGTATAAATAAAGAGATATGCATATGTATTTACATAATACTTGAGAAAGAGGCAATAATTAAGGATGTAGAATGAATTACGAAAATGAATTACAGAACGCAGGTAATGATTCATATGCTAGCTGTTTAAGCTGGAGATGGCATGGGGGAAAAAACTGTTTTTATGCCTAGATGTTCTAGTGCACAGAGATCTGTAGCGTCTGCCTGAAGGGAGAAGTGCAAACAGGTTGTGTCCGGGGTGAGACATTGAAGTGGCTTCAGTGGAATTTCTGGTAAAGACAAACTTGTTCATTAGAAGTGGACGTCATTATAATTTTGCCCAGCTACATTTATAAAGCTACATTTACCCTTATAATGTACTTCATAAATACTCATTATAAAATACATACACAATACCTCTAAATATTAAGCATGGACTTTATTGATGAGATTAGACTCATAGACTAAATCATCCAGTTAATACCTGAGCAAAACCAAGACATCTAAATATTGTGGGGGAAAAAAACGATACAATTTAAAATAATAATAATAATAACAGAATCAGCACAAGGAAACATTGAGGTAGGTTGCAATTACCAAGACAAGAGACTGAGTGTGAGAGAAATATTTCTCAGAGATGAAAGGAAGAGAATAAAAATAGAAATACCTATAAATAACCATATAGCAGATCTAGCTCTTCCACAAACACACACACACACACACACACACACAGAGAGATCTTGACGTGGTTCTTTTATACTGATACTGCTGTCTGTCAGTGACACAAACACCTTAACACCCACATATGAACACGATTGTGACCTACATATAAATACAAGCGGAGAGAGTGAAACAGACTCAGTGAGACAGCACTCCTACACACAAAAAAAAAAAAAGGTGATAAGATAAGATAAGCAAATAGGTATTAATAATATTAATATTAGTCCTACGGTAGCGTTGCCTGTATCTCCACCTTGGTTATTCTCAATGCCGTTTGTGGATCGTCAGATATTTAAAATTGTAAGGATAAACAAAATCAAGTTCCTAAATCAATAATAGTGCAACAGCATCTGGAGAGAGAATATTTTCATATATACAGATGGTTCCAAAGACCCAGAAACTGGATCAACAGCAGCAGCTATGTTTATTCCTCTTTCTAAGTATACAGCTGCAAAAAGGCATCAGACGAAACGGACTCAGACAAAAAGGCATCAGACGAAACGGACTCAGGTGGAGTGTCGTGTTGCCCCGCCCCATGTGACGTCACACGCACGCGGTTCAGAGGATGTGGTATGGAACGGTTGATGGATGGCAAAAGGAGGTAAGCCGCATCTGATATATTATATTTTAACAGTTTTATTTAAATGTTACACTAATTAAGTTATATACAGAAGAGAACATGCATTTCGAGAGTCTTGTGTGCACGTTTAAAAAGTTAGTTAGCCATATTGCAACTAGTCAGCTTTTATGTTGGCAAACTGTAGTAAAATTAACGAAACGGACTCAGACAAAAAGGCATCAGACGAAACGGACTCAGGTGGAGTGTCGTGTTGCCCCGCCCCATGTGACGTCACACGCACGCGGTTCAGAGGATGTGGTATGGAACGGTTGATGGATGGCAAAAGGAGGTAAGCCGCATCTGATATATTATATTTTAACAGTTTTATTTAAATGTTACACTAATTAAGTTATATACAGAAGAGAACATGCATTTCGAGAGTCTTGTGTGCACGTTTAAAAAGTTAGTTAGCCATATTGCAACTAGCCAGCTTTTATGTTGGCAAACTGTAGTAAAGTTTACCCTTACGAAAAATAACCATGGTTTTACTACAACAACAAAAATAATAATAATAATAACCTGGTTGCTGTAGTTAAACCATGGTATCCACAGATTAACCATGGTTTTGCTACTCTAACCATAGTTTAACCATGGTATTTGTAGTAAAACTGTGGTTATACAAATGGTAATAATTACACTAAAAAAACATGTTACTACACTTTTACTATAATAAAACCATGGTCAGTTTACGTCAAGGTAAAGCGAATTCTTTCGAGCTATTAGATTGAAATCTTAGACGAATTATAATATACCTGTATGAGTCTAAAACACTCATGACATTCGCAAGCAAAGGAATGTTCCAGGTCAATTTGGGGAAACCAGACCTTCTCTTTACTTCCCCACCCGAAGGTATCCGTTTCATCCCAATTAAAAAGGTTCAGAAAAGCACTAGCCAATGTGAAAAAGGAATTTGTATCTTCCTGCGGGCTTTGCTGATATGCTCTGCAAAGTAGACAACGACCTCCTGAAGTATGCAGAACAGCTTGTTTGTGGAGTAGATGAGCCTTTGTTGGTGGCAAATGAAGAATTCAGAAAAATATCAGAGGCTATTCTGCAAAATACAAACTTCCCATCATCACCAGACGGGTCTTTGGCAGCTTACCTCATGTTGGTGGAGAAATTCACCACAGTCCTTCAAACAAGAGGCATTCCCATTCCATCCACATTTGCAGAGGCAAATGAAATATACCAGCTGCTGGCCAATGAGACAGGGACTTTTTAACTGCTTATCCAACTAAATAAATCCATATAAAGGGACCAAATTATTAAAAAAGTGCTACAAATGAAGATGCAAAACATGTTTAATGATGTGAACATACATTGAAACAAATAATAAAACATACCAGCAGTGTTAGACAGAGAGAGAAGGGCTGTGATTATAATGTTAATATTTTACCAACATTAGTATTTGTACTACAAACTGAAAATGACAAGAAATGTTACACTATCCATGTGATAATCCGTAACATTTACCATTCTTAACCATAACGGCTCTTTAAATCTGGCCCCTCCACTGTTTTTAGGGACAGCACCACAGAGGAAGCTTCAGGTCTTGATGCTGCATCATAGTGCAACATTGTACCAATAAACTGGTACTTGTCGCTCAGATGTGGTACTTGTTGTGGTGGCACCTTTTTGGCCATTAGACTGCACAACTCTAGTTTTTCACTGTACATGGCACTGATTTCGTGAAAATCTCCAGGTATGTTGCTCCCAGAGACCAGATGTCAGAACTACTGGAAGCCTGTTCAAATTCAACTAGACACTCTGGGGCCATATAAAAAAAGGTTCCACCCATTGGCCCTATTCCTCCTCCAGTAAGTCTGCTTCCTTGTCGTAGTACAACCGTGTCTCTGATGTTGGCAAGGCCCCAGTCTGTCAGTACAGCCTTTTTTGAGAACTGGTCGATCTGTTTAAAGTATCAAAATAGGTTTTAAATCATTAAAACATAAATCTCCCTATTTATTTCACTTTGTTGTTATTGTCTTATATATATGTCATCCTGAACATCTGTGAAATCACACTCACCAGATCTACATTATAAATAAACCTTCCTGGTTTGCAATGGAGAACCTTTGATAACTGAACTTTTTACCTAACATTCAAACAAAGTTCAAAATGCCAGACCCTCGCAATCTCACCAGATTACGATTATAAAACAACCCCGAAAACATCCTTAGAAAGTTCACACTCGCAGGTGCATGCCATAAATAGCTGCAATGGAGATCCTTTGATCACTGAAACATGATCTGTTTTGATCACTGAACTTTGCCTGACACAACAACAAACTTCACAATGCCACAACCCTCAAAAACTCATTAGATTCCAAATGAATTGCAAACCCCAGAAACAGGCTTAGATGTTGTAAAAACTTTAGGCGTTTAATTACGTATGTCTGTTTTAATTGATAGATAACGCGCCACAAGTGTTACAGACGGAAAATCAAAGAGACTCCCCAAAACATTAGCTTTCATTCCAGTTAGATATTTGCGTACGCATACGCGTGTGTGTGTTTTAACTGATATAGCATGCTAGAAGTTAAGATTGACAAAAATAAAAGACAGATTAAAGGAATTAGGCTACTAAATTAAGTGTGAATAACTAAACTAAAAT